ACGTGGATTTGTCAGTAGACATATTCGGTAGTGCTATATATATATATATATATATATATATATATATGCTTTAGTAGGGGTGTTTTTGTATTTATGTGTACTACAGGGGATATATGATAAAAAGTTCATAGTACATGGGTATTTTTGTATTTAACCATAATAATAATAGCAATAACAATAATAGTAATAGTGATAGTTTATTGAGTAATTAAGTTTGAAGAAAGCGTCGACGATATTCACCGAGAGCCCAGATCGGGAAGATATTCCGATAGGACGAATAGTTGAGGGTGCAATTCTTCATGAATACTCCTGTGATCTCCTTCTCTCCAAAATAATGATTGAAAATAAAAGAAAAATCATTGATTTATATATTTCTTTTGGAAATATTAAAAATAAAACTAAAGAAAATACATCTAATTATGTATTATTACCTGTTGAGGAAAGTCACCATCTTCCATTTGTGAGTTTATCAGCAGTCTCATGCCACGGTGTATGGGCAACGGATCGATCTCCCCCTTATTTACATAAAATACGAAATTATTTCGGACTAATTTTAAATAATAAATTAATTAATTATATGTTCACCTAATTAACGAACCTGTCCGGCATTAATGAGAGATAAGAGAGCCCACGAAGTCTGCACCAAATTTGATCTATTACCTTCAATATTAGTGTACACCTACCCCCAAAAAATCCAGATTTCTTAGTATCGTGGGATTTTATATTTTTTTTTTGATAAATCATTTTCGGTGTCGAGTAATCTAAAACAAGAACTAATAATATAAAACTTTTAGATTCTTAGGTCACATAAATAATTATTAAAAAAAATTAAAATAAATTTTGGCTGACGTCGTGGACTATGTTTTCTCTGTGTCTTGAATTTTTAATTATTTTTATTTTTGCCTTTTTCTTAATTTTGTAATAATTATTTAAACTGGAAGGAGTGGCTTTTTAGTAATTTTCAGACTTAGATCAAAGGGTGTTAAGGTCAAATGTCTGAAAACTAACGCTGAGGGCCACGTTGAGACAATTTTTCAAGTAAGGGGGGTAAATCGATGCAATTGAGAGTAGAATGGAGTAAGGTGATATCGAACCAAAGTACAAGGGGACAAATCGATGCAATTAAGAGTAGAAGGGGGTAAAGTAACACCGTATCTAAGTACCAGGGGTGAAAGTGAAATTTACCCTATAACCCCAAGGTGTTTTTTAAATTAATTATAAACGTCACCCCACTCTATTAATTAATTACCCTTCTAACTATCATTTTCACTCTTTTTTTTTTTTCTTTCTTTATCTTCTTACATGACTTCTGGCTAGGTGTTACCCCCCTTAGTCGGTGATATCGGTAATGACTCGAGTGTGGCCGAGTCATGGCCGAGAAATGGTGCCAAGCAAGAGTTGGCACAAGACAGCCACACAATCGGCCAATGAGTGGTCGAGTGTTGGGAAAGCATACGGGGTGTTTGTCCGAGAAAGCAAGGATCGGCTTGAGTCAAGTGGGAACGGTGATCGAAAGTACTAGTGGCTGGCACGGGCGTTGCTCGGCACAGCAAATGCGCGTTGGCAGTAATCGGCATGTGGCCGACAAACGAACGTTCGAAGGAAATCGACCACGACTTGACAAGTGAGGGCAATTTGGCACGACCGATTGGCAAGTCAAGGAAGGCAGCCCGATGTGCGAGCGTGCTAAAGACCGTGTGGGCAAAGAACTAGCAAGTGATGGGCAAGGCAAGCAAAACGTGCGGAAAAAGCAAGGCAGATGGGCTGCCTAGCAACCGGTCGGGCTGTTTTGGGCCGTTTGGTGCGCGCGTCCGATCAAGTTGGGCCTCGAAAACCTGCATTGTGGGTGGTTTTTGAGGGAAGTTGCGGAGCGGTTGAGGCCTGGAAAGCATGAAAAACTGCCCCAAATTACTTGTAATAGTTAGCCAAATGTCATATATGTATGCTGCCAAGTGTCCTTAGGTAGTTTATGTGAAAACTACCTTCTTCCTTGTATTTATTTGGCTATGAGTGCACAAATCCGACCCAACTAGCATTAGAGAGTTCAGATTGCAATTGTGGGCATTATGAGTGAGGATTTTGTGTGTGCACCTTAGTCTCCTTTGTATTCTTTGTGGGAATTTAATATAAAGGTTGGGCATTGCCCGTAAACGTGCTTGTGTGTTTGTTTTCCGCTGCATACTCTTGTTCTCGTTTACGTTGGCTTAAAAGACTTGTGTTTGTGCGTTTTGTACAAAGAAAATCGAGAGGAAGGCTGACTAATTTGGTGGACAAATCAGGCCGCACAGGCGAAAATTTCTTGAGTAAAGAAACCCATGTGACACTAGGGGTGGTAAACTCGCCGAGCTGGCTCGCAAATTCAACGAACCGGCTCGAACTAGAGCTCGAGCCAAAATTTAGTTGTTCGACAGCTCACGAGCTGTTTTTTTTTTTTACATATATATATATATGAATATTATTCTTATTCTTATTATTATTAACTAAATAGTAAATAGTGTATAATAATAAATATTTCTAGTATTTAAATAGAAACAAATCTATATTACTTAGATAATTCATAATAATATAAAATATTATAATAATAATAGAAAAATTAAAAAAAAAATATATATATATATATATATATATATATATATATATATAACTAGAGTTTATTATTTATTTTATAATTTTTTTATTTTCCTATAAATAATTTTTAATCAAATATTAAATGATTTAATAAAAAAATAAATAATAATAAAAATTAAATGAGCCTGAGCTCGAGCTCGAGCTCGGCAACATGGACTCGAGCTCGAGCTCGAGCTGGCCAAAACAACCGAGCTCGGCTCGTTCCCACCCCTACTTTTGGCTACCATTCTTTCACCAATATTATTTTCTTACTATTTTTTGGTGGATTGTACGCTCTAAAATAAATAGGCCACAGTAGAACCTCGATAAATTAATAACCTCGTTTAAATAACATATTTTTTACCCTGTCCCAATTCGAAGGTAAAGTGTTAAAAAATATTTCGTTAAATTAATATGTCGCTAAATTAATAGAATTTGGCTGGTCCCGACTGTATTAATATATACAGGTTTAATTGTATTTACAAAAAAACGTCTTCGACCCATGACTGAATTTTGGTTACCGTCTAAGAAGATCTCGAGCTCTTACGGCACATTGCGAAGAATACTTTTTCGACATTCAAATTATACCCTTATTTTTAAAACACGGGTTTAATTATATTTGTAACTTATCCTAATAATTAACAGATCAGGAGAAATAACGTCTCGTGAGATTCTATACCTGGTGAAATAAACCATGTAAGTTGTAAACCGTAGATCTACGTAAATAACTATTCACTGAACACATATATACATTTTGTATTTTACCAGGTGCAGGTTTTACAAAATCGATTCAGAAATGACTCTTGGTGTTTGTTAAGATTAGTTGCAATTTTTCGGACACACTATCTTGGATGCTAGCATAGAATTCAACACGTGCGGGAATAGTATATATAGTTCGATAGGCAAAACAATAAATGCAATTTTTTAGTTTACTTTATTTTTATTGACCTGTAGTTGCCTTGCCTTCCAGGTCTCTCGTATAGGAGAATTCCAATTTATGTTTTGTTTGTGAGTCCTTAATGAGGTCTTAATGGCTAGCTATGAATAAATTGTAAGAAGTACCCTTATGTAATCTTGAAATAGTAGAAAACCCCCTGTGAAATTTGGTCAAATGCATATTCCCCCTTAAGCCGGGTCGTGTTGCTCACTCGCAATTTTATGCGCAACTGGTATATATATGGGGTATTGTCATGTAAGAAAAAATATTTAGATACTCCCTCCGTTCCGTTTTAATTGTCGTTTTTTTAGCTTTGCACAGAGATTAAGAATTTCATTAAATTTATCTTGATTTTAAGAAAATGTATGCTTTAGACTAACATGACCTTCTCTTATAATTAATAAGAGAGAGAAATTAGTTGAGAAAAAGAGTATAGGAAATAGTTAATAAGGGTATAAATTGAAAATTAAGTAATTAATGAAGTATTGGAAATTTAAAGTGACAGATAATATGGAACAAAAAAAAAATTCTTCAAAGCGACAGATATTATGGAACGGAGGGAGTATTTATTTATAATTGAGTTACAGAATAAAATAACCTATTAAATAATTTTGAGGATTAATATGTTATAGTTTATTAAAGGGCAAATTACGGCCACTCCCTGAGTTATAGTCAAATTACGAAAACTCCCTCATGTTTGGTTCAGCCCAACATGAGTAATTAGGGAACATTAGGGATGTTAATTTTGTATTATCTTAAAAAAAAAAACCCCTCCAGGAGTAAATTAGGGATGTTAATTCGGTAAAACCGAACCGAAATTTCGGTACGCCGACATTTCATATCGTTTACAACCACTACAACCGCGCGCGAGCTGTTTATAACAATAGACCGCGGATGTATGTATATCTTTCTTTGCCATGCTACAACTTCGATTTATTCTATGTTATACGATGTAGATCCTTACCATTCATATATAAACAAATACACACCTGCAACTTCTAAATGGTAATTATTTCCTTTATGCCAAAGTTTAATTTACGGTTAAAATTAAACTCTAAAAGAAGTCTATGTAATTACTAGATCATATTTACGTAATTTGATCTAACATCAGGCATGATATATAATATGGTTTGCTCTATAGTTGGTTAGGGATAAAAATGGTGTTTCACGAGTTATACGTAATTTTTCAAACGAAATGAGATCTAGTTGTTATTACACCTAACCCTAATTTCTTCTTCACTATATATATATATATATATATATATATATATATATATATATATTATTATTATATATATATAAAGAGAGAGAGAGGGGGGCTATAGCTATCAGTTTTCCTTGTATATAAAGCACCAAAAGAAATAGGAATCTTAATTAAATAATAAAATATTCAAAGCCAAACTGAAACCAACGAGAAATAACCGCCCGCATGCAAGAAAGTGAGATGGAGCTTCTTAGTCTATCATCCATTCTCCTCCTCACTCTTTTCCTCTCTCTCTCTCTAACAATACTTCATTATCACAACTCAAAACCTAAAAATTATAAAAACACTCATTCCAGATCAAAATCACTTCCTCCAGGCCAAACAGGGTGGCCCCTCTTCGGCGAAACCCTGGAATTCGTGTCGGCGGGCCGGCATGGAAACCCCAAGAGGTTTTTCGACGACAGAATGGCGAAACACTCGGCCGACATCTTCAAGACCTCACTGATCGGCGAAAAGACAGCCGTCTTTTGCGGGCCTTGACGCAGAACGGAAGCACGGTAAAGAATTAATTTCTATGAATTAATCCTATCGAACACGATAACTCTGGAATCCACCAGATAATTGAGAGAAAACTCAGAAATTTTATTAATAATGAAAGATGCTGAAAAATAAATCCTAGAGCAACTATTTATACTAAAAAAAACGAAAAACCTAATCAAACTAGGAAAACGAGAAAATTACCAAAAAAAAGGAAAAACCTAATCAAACTAGGAAAACGAGAAAATTACCAAAAATAAAAATAAAATAACTCCTAAACCTACTAGAATACCGAAAGTTGGAAACAACCCAACTTGCGGAATTCAAATCCTAATCAAACTAGAATTCCGACTCCGCCACCTCTGCATCAATCCCTTCTTCTTCGAAAGAGCTCGACCTCGAGCTTGTATCGGGATAAAGTGGGGTATTCTCCTGATACTCGTATAAGTCCGAAACGTTGAAAGTTTTCGAAATACTCATGTGAGCCGGGAGGTCGATTACGTAAGCATTATCATTAATTTTCTGAAGGACTTTGAACGGTCCATACTTCTTTGGCTTGAGCTTGTTATACGTTCCCACCGGGAATCGCTCCTTTCGAAGAAATACCATGACATCGTCCCCCGCATGAAAAGTCTTCAGCCTGCGATGCTCGTCCGCGGTAGCTTTATACTTGGCATTCTTTTGCTCGAGCCTCTCCTTAACCTCTGCTTGGACGTCTCGTACTTCATTAGCCAGTCGCTCAGCCGCCACACTTTTTCGGTGCTCTTGAGGGAGGCGTATCAAATCCACTGCATGCTTCGGAGCTGCTCTATAAACCAACGCAAAAGGAGACATTCCAGTGGCGCTGTGCACAGCGCTATTGTAGGCAAACTCCGCTTGTGGTAAAGCATGATCCCATTGCCTCGGGCGATCGCCGCAAATACATCGTATCAAATTTCCCAAAGTCCGATTAGTCACCTCCGTTTGCCCATCAGTTTGCGGATGTGCTGTGGTGCTTCGCTTGAGGGAGGTGTCAAACATCTTCCAAAGGACAAGCCAAAAATGGCTAAGGAACTTCACGTCTCGATCGGATGTGATTGTCTTCGGTACGCCGTGTAAACGGACTACTTCTCGAAAGAACAGTCTCGCAATGTGAGACGCATCAGAAGTCTTTCGGCACGGAATGAAGTGAGTCATCTTGGAAAACCTATCAACCACCACGAAAACCGAATCAACCCCCCGCTGGGTTCGCGGCAAGCCCAACACAAAATCCATCGATAGATCTTCCCAAATACCACTTGGGACCGGGAGAGGTGTATACAACCCCGTATTTTGAGATTGACCCTTCGAAACTTGGCAAACATAGCACTTTGCAACTATCTTACCAACATCTCGTTTAAGTTGAGGCCAATAAACCGCTCCTCGACGCTGCTCGTCGTCTTGTCTCGTCCCAAATGACCGCTTAGCCCGCCCGCATGTAGATCCACAATACTTTTCGCGAAGAGAAGTCCTC